TCTCTCTCTCTCTCTCTCTCTCTCTCTCTCTCTCTCTCTCTCTCTCTCTCTCTCTCTCTCAAAATATGTTTTCAGTGCCCTCCCGCCCCTGAAGCCCCCACCCGTAAAACCAAAAATACGTGTGTGCGGGCCATATTTCTATGCACTGGCATACACGTGCGCGCGCAATTGTCCCATATCTGAGTACGTATTCCTGTGTGTGTGAAGCCCGTCTACACGTGCGCTATGTCCCCCAGGGAAAAAAATGAAAACGAATTGAGGGGTTTGAAATCTAGGTTGCCAGGGGTGCCTAGCTGGGCACCCATGCAGGTCGACCGGCGGCCAGGCCACCGGTGCCCCCAGGCATGCAAAAGATCCCGCCTCTTCTTTTCTTCAATAGGTGCCGTGGGTATCTCTGTGACCACGGGGTTGTGCCCACTCCCGGGTTGTTTTTGTGTTTTCAAATTTCAAGAGGTTAGCATTTTTTTGTTAGGGAGGGGTAGGGTGGGTGGGTGGGTGGGTGGGTGGGAGAGGAGGGGCGGGCGGTGGAGGAACGATCACCATGATCATCATCGAACCGACACAGATGAGCAAGTAGAGTATACTAAGGTCCTTGAAATAACCATGTTGAAGGAACTCAGCAAAATGACTCCGTCACTTCGGGAGCAGTGCTTTTCTTTGCCAAAAGGCCCAAAACAGACAAAAGTGGCACATAACAGGCGGGGTCTTGACTGTCTATTCAGGGGGGGTCGTGACTGTTTATTCAAAACACAGCCTAAGGACTCTGCCAAGTCGTAACACTATGGGTCTCGCCCCACGGCACACGAAATGAAAACGAAACGAATGCATCTGCCCACGAAAGATGGCAAAATACACTCGTTACTATTTATAGCTAACCGATGAATCTGGCCATTTTCTGCAGGAAGATGCACTCGTTTCGTTTTTCGTTTCCTGTCCCGTGCGGCAACGCCCTATGTATATTAGAGTCTGATACCTGCCCGGTGCTGGAAGATAATGATTACATTCCAATATTGCCAACGGAATTGAGTACAACAGTACTACAAGTCTACAACTGTATTTTCATATATATATATATATATATATATATATATATATATATATATATATATATATATATATACTGTTTACTGTTTATGCTTCCAAAGTTCCAAACTACAAACGTCATCATGCCACGACAGCTCAGATGGGACCTAGCATCGGCATGATTCCACCATCACAATCATCATCATCAGCAGCAGCAGCATCATTTTTTAGAGGGCGCCTGGCAGCACACTGGACCACCGGATTGCCTACCTGGCGCCCACCGTGAAAAGGCAACCGGTAAAAAGGCAACCAGTAAAAAGGCAACCGGTAAAAAGGCCAGTTGAACCTGGGCACTGTGACCCCCGGGGACTCCGAGTGGGTGAAACGCCCACCGTGGCGGTTGGGCGGCCTTCTGGGCGGGTGTGGGCAGCCCATGCGGGTGGAAAAAGAAATCAGTACAAAATCAAGAAAATTAAACATGTTAAACCACAAGTAACTTTGTCGGTTCGGAAAATAGTGGGCGGAAAATAGCGGGGCTCCAAGCTTTCAGGAGGAGTTGTCGGTTCGGAAAATAGCGGGCGGAAAATAGCGGGCGGAAAATAGCAGGCGGAAAATAGCGGGGTTCCAACCTTTCAGGAGGAGGCCCAAACGAGACGACGTCCGCCGATCAGATTTATCAACGGCAGCCGTTGTCGGGCCCGGCATCATAAAAGTTCGGGAGTAGGCTAAAACTTGCCGAAGCGAAACGGCAAAGGTACTACACTGTAGTGGTTTAACCAAAAAAAAAAAAAGCGGGGGGGGGGGGGGAAGGGGAATCATATGTAAAAAGTTCCTTCTATTCTGGGGGGCATCAGGCCGGTTACTTATCACCTGCAAGCATGTTGTACACAAATGTGGTGGAGAGAGAAAATAAGAGGAGGGAGGCAGCCCAGCCCTTGCGCCACTGGACGCCTAAACAAGGGGGGGCTGCTACAGAGCGCCCATTTCCCAGCCTTGATCCGTCCTTGGGGGCTGTTCTACTGGTTGGGAGGCGTCAAGTACTTTTTTAAGTTTTTTTTTTTTTTTTAACTCTTTTATGTGTGTGTAGTCATTGTATCCTTTTCTTTCAATGAAATTTGCGCCTTTTGTTTTGTTGTTTTTAACTTTTTAATAGTTTTTATGCATTTTTTTTTTTTTTTCATTTTCGCCCCTCCAATGAAGTACTCAGAAAAAAAAAAAACTGGATTATTTATTTATTAAATTTATTTAAATATTTATTTATTTGTGTGTGTTTGAAAGTTAAAACTTGTGTGTTTTTGGTTTGGTTCCCCTACAGGTTGCCTGGGAGATTTTCACACCACTCCTGCAGCTCGTCGATGGAGGGAAATTCCATGTCATCCCATACTCGCCCGGGTCCCGCGGGCCCAAAGAGGCTGATGACATGGCAGAGAAAGCAGGGTACCAGCGTTTCACCGGCTACGTATGGCACCCTCCGTCGCTAAGTGCGATTTAATTTTAATTTTTTAAATGGTTGGTTGGTCGACGATTGATTCCTAATAACGACCACTCATTTCCGTGGATAAGCGAGGAAGATTACATCTGCTCAGAGTGGAAAGACAGAGATTCGACGGACAAGATCAGCTGCAGATTGGATCCGGCAGATTGGGACGAACTTTCCTAAAAAGGAATGATTTTGAGGGCAAGTGCAAGTGCAAGTCCGAAGTCAGTTGCAAAACCCGGCAATGGATCGTCAGGTCAGTAGATTGGGAACCAGATCGGACTCAGCAGATGGGACCGAACTTTGGACCAAATTGGAGCCAAGATCATTCAGCAGGTTGGAAAAGATGAGATCCAATGGAACTTGGACAAGATCAAAATAGCTTTGTGAAGATTGTATCAGATTTGGGCAGGTCAAGATTGGGATACGTTGATGAAAAGATTAGATCAGTGGACACCGATGAGATTGGCAGATAAAACTTGGGACCAGATTGTAAGTTTTTATTTCTCTCAAGGACGATACTTAACAAATTTTAATCAAATGCCATCTTTTGCTAGTTTTGAAGATGTCATTATCAGATTTGGGCAGGTCAAGATTGGGACACCGATGAGATGGCAGGTAAAACTTGGGACCAGATCGGGATTTTAACACAGAATAAAGTTTTGATAAATTCTGTGGACCAGATCCACCGGACAGGCTGGGACCAGGAGAGAACTGGATCGAATTGAATCGAATAGGATGGGATGGGATGGGATGGGATCGGATGGGATCCAGATCGGCAAATCGGATCGGACGGGATCCGGATGGGGATTGGTTCCCATCGGTTCGGATGGGAATCGGATCGGCGGATAGGATCCGATCTGTTCAGATGGGATCCGGATCGGCGGATCGGATTCCCATCGGTTCAGATGGGATCGGAATCGGCAGATCATGTAGGACCAGATCAGTTCGGGTCGGATCAGGATGGGCGGATCGGCAGATCAGATCGGGTCAGATTGGATAGGATCGGATCAGATCGGATTTCATTGGATCGGTCAGATCAGATCGGATCGGATCGCAAATCGGATCGAATTTTGGATTGGATTGGACTGAATGTGATCAGGTTAGTTTCAACTAAAGATGAGATGGGAACCGAACCGGATTGGATCGGATAAAAAAAAACTTGAACCAGATAAGTTCCAGTTCTGGATTCAATCTAGAACAGGATTAGAGGTTCTAATTCTGGACCGTTATTGGATCGGATAAAATGAGCTTGAAACAAATCAAATATTAGTTTGGGCCCTTCAGGGTCTTGGACCACGATCGGATTAATACACAAAGCTAGCACCTGATCAGATTTAGATTGGACCAGACTGTGCGTGTAGTCGCCGTGTACGCATATGTAATGGTTGGTTAACAGACAACGAGTTTGAATCCTGGTTAGCTTTGAGTGTAGTGGACAGGATCATAGATCTCGAGTCCAACCAGGTAAAAGGTTGGACCATTGCTTGGACCAGATCAGTTTACCTTGGTCCAGAGATTCTACCAGCTTGCAAAGTGGAGCGGACAAGAAGCGAGATTGGCGTACACTTGATTGACTTGGACTTCTGCTCTACAGAAAAGGAGTTATGCTCATTCACTTCTACTCAGCTCTCTTATCAGATAAGCTATGACTGTGTACTAGAGTATGTGAAACAGTCCAAGTAGATTGTACCAGGTCCAGAGCAGGTAGAACTGGTCCAGTCTGGTATCAATACAAGTAGACTGGGCTGGTCCAGATCTGGTACCAACCCAAGTATAGACTGTACCGGACCAGATCGGCCTGGACAAGATAACAATTGAATTGGACCAGATGCGTGAGATATCATCAGACCAAAGCAACTATTGGTATACCCCCCCCCCCCCCCCCCCCCCCCCCCCCCCCCCCCCACCTCCGCTCCCACCACCACCAAGGAAAAAAGGCCGAAGCTTAGGGAAAGCTTTGCACCCACTTCAAAATGCAAATCTCTCTATTTTAGAGAAGGGAGGTGAAAGAGATGATGAATACAATCTGATGAGGGAATAAAATTTCTGCAGGTAGATATTTGAGCATGGGTGTGTAGCACTGTGTACTGTCCGGATGGTCCATCTGGATGTTCCGGGTCTGTGTCCTTCTGTCCAGGTAAATTAAAAATTTATATTAACTTCAGAATTTTCAATTTTCGGATTTCAGAAAACAAAAGCAAAAAAAAAGGATCTGGAAAAAAAAAAGTGTATCGTACTATCGTATATGGTGTGGGCAGCTCTGTTTGACGATATATACCACGACTTCGCTAGCACCCAGCTACGGTTTTCTCAGGTCAGGTCGAGAGGCAGTGGTCGGGGCCGTCACTACGTGGCCATGCTGTGCCTCCATTTGTCCAGAGTGTATTTTTTCAATTTTTGGCTGTCACAGACCTTTTTTTTGTTTCGTGCGTGTTTCTGCTGGCTTGTTTGTGATGGGGTGTGAACCGACAGTCTGTAGAATTTTCCATCTGGTGTGGGTGAGTGATAGTCTGCTTCAGGGTTGCATGCCTGCCGACCGCCGACCCCGACCGCCGACCGTTTTGCGGCCGACCAGTAAGGCCGACCGGTTCGTGCGTGTTTCTGCTGGCTTGTTTGTGATGGGGTGTGAACCGACAGTCTGTAGAATTTTCCATCTGGTCTGGGTGAGTGATAGTCTGCTTCAGGGTTGCATGCCTGCCGACCGCCGACTCCGACCGCCGACCCCGACCGCCGACCCCGACCGCCGACCGTTTTGCGGCCGACCAGTAAGGCCGACCGGTCGGCAGTCCGCCGACCAGTCAGAAAACAGCCATCCACTGATTTTTTTGCAAATCTGAGTTGGGAGCTGTACTGTGCTTACTGAGTACAGACCAAATCTGCTGAGAAACTTCTAGGGATGCGAGGAGGGTAGTGGGACGGTCGGGGCAAGTACAGGGGGGTATGGGGGAGTTATAAGAGGTATTGGGGGGGTAATGAGGGTGCTGGCTGAGGTAGCCAAACGAGCCCGTCCCTTCTACAAATTCTGAGGGCACAGGAAAAAAGAAATTAGGGCCATGTATTCCTCATTGAATTTAGTTTGTTTTTTTTTTTCCTGAAGGGATCCCAGCAGAGCATCTGCAGGGCTCTCATGTCTTACCAGAGACATTCGTCGAATTCCGGACAAGAGAGGAGCAGGCCAGCAATATGGATCCGAAGTCGGGTCTGTATTCCAGCAGTTATGGGTTACACCTACTTCTCTTCTCTTATATATACCTTAAAGGGAAAACCGGTCCTCGCGTGACGCAGGAGCCGGGCCCAGGGAAAGTCGGGCAGGGAGGCCCGCGCGTGGCACTGCGGGGTCGTGGGACACGACGTGCCAGAGAAGAAAGCACACCGCGGCGCGCGGCGGTTCGGGAGGGGCCCGGTGGGCGCGTCCATGAAAAATCGCGCGGGGCGGGGGGTGCCCGTTGGCCGGGTCCTCATTGCCAAGCGGGGTCGCGGCGGGTAGCCGTATTTGCGCCGGCGGGGTCCTCCTTGCCAGGTGTGGCTGGGCGGAGCAAATGTCGGTCGGGGCGGGGCGGTTGGGTGCACCGACGGAGAGAGAGAGAGAGAGAGAGAGAGAGAGAGAGAGAGAGAGAGAGAGAGAGAGAGAGAG